TACCGACATATTTCTGTTATTGCTACCTCAAAGTTATGTGTAATGTTATATCACACCAGCTACCAATCAACAGATTATGCTTTGACAGTTTAGGAGGCATAAATATTGAGGTACAATAACAGAAATATGTCATACAGACTGTCAAAGCATAATCTGTTGATTGATAGCTGGTGTGATATAACATTGCAATGTAACATATTTCTGTCCAATCAATTGCCTTTGCTTCTAATGTTATACATCTGCTTATAACACTTCTATTTAGAGACTTAGTATTCAAATTCACTCCTACAAGAAACTAAAATCACTGGCTTTATTGTTAGTATTTAAAAGACCAAAAATTGAAACTTCCAAATTTTTGTATACATCCTAAATAAAGTAAATGCTTATTTAAAATTGTATTTGCACTCATAATGAACTTTAGGTAATATTTCAAGATGATTATTATATGTTTGCATATAAATTAAAATAAATTCTGTTTTCTGGTATAGAATGTGAGGGTCAGATTAATTATACATTCACAAAATAAATTATTACCTGTAGAAATATCTTATCTGTTTTCAGGTGGAAGAAAAAACAATATTACACATACCTACATCAAATACCATATTACCTGATGACATAAGAGAAGTTATTCAGAGATATTGGAGTCCCTGTGGATCTTTTGTACTGTTTTCTGTTAGTGTGATTTATTAAGCAATTTTATATGGGGAGTATATTTTAATTATTTGTAAGAATATATATTTCTATTAAGGTAAAAATAATTATCTTAATTGTTTTAAATATCCATACACAAATGATGCTGCTTCAATTACTGTGTTTTATGAACTCATAACTTTTAACATTAGTTATCAGAATTATTGATTAATTATGCTTATGTGTTAATTTAACCTCCTGCCCTGCATTAAAGAATTTACCTTTTTATATCTAATACTGTTTTTCTAATATATTATTGAGTTGTGTGTGTTTTAACAGGTGGAACTTAATAATGTAATACTTAATAATAAGTAATTTTTGACCATTCATACAAAATTAATAAACATATTTTCTAATGTTTTTTTTTTTTTTTTGTATAAAAAATTCACCATCCAACTATTGAAACAAGACTTTTGTGCTGTTGAGAGATAGAAAAGTTGAAGTTCATCCAACTCCAATAAGCATAGTCAATTTCTTTGAAAGAAAAATCAACATTTTTTTTATCTCAATAAGTCTTGTTTGTTTTTTTTTTTACTTGATAGGGAAAAAGTTGAAAGCTAAGGAGAAGTATATTTCAGAAAATGATTCCTTGAAATATCTAATTGTCAGTAGAAAATATACTGGAAGAATTATGAGAGCTTGTTTTGTATACATTCATGTTTTTAAACTGAATAATTTAAACATTTTCTAAATGTCAAGAGTAATTGGTATTACACATTATTTCTCATTCGAAAAATAATTGATATAAACATTTTAATTTTTTGTTTTGTTTTAAACAACCTTTTAGCTACTAAATCAATCTTTAAAGAAGTTTAAGGTTCTTACAATGTGAGAGAAATGTTGATTTGGATATCAGATCTTTTGCATTAATTGTTGTGAAAACTAATAATGAATCTTACTGAAAACTATCTCCATTTAAATGTTTTAAATTAATTATATCAGAATATCAAAACCATATTTTTTTTAAATAAGCTCATAAAATGCAAAATTAAAATTTTTAATTCTTTAACTGAATTATATTAGATTATCAAAACTACATTTTTTTAAAGTAAGCTTATAAAGTACAAAAGGGAAAAGTACAGTTATTTTTTAAAGAATTTTAACATTTGTTTTATTGATAAATAATCAAACTTGATTTTCCAAAATCAAAATTGAGTCATTCTTTTATAAAATACAGTAGGTTTTTCACCAATTCCTAATGAGCTAAGAATTTGTGGTCATTTTAACTTATTTGTTTGCTATCTATTAATTGCTGTCTTCTGAGTGTCAGTTTTGCAGCAAACTGGTTCTTTTGAGATTTATATGAAATTAATTGTTGATACTTTTTAATAAATATCCCATGAGTTTAATGCAGAAGTTCTAGCTTTTAAACGTAACTTTTTGTTAGAGGATTATAAGATGTTTCAGTTCGAGAATATCTTCCGATGGGTTAGTTTGTGGACTTCGAGTGCAAAAATCCAAGGTTTGATTCCACACCGTGAACAGAGTACAGATAACCCATTGTGAAGTCTTGCACTAATACAAGAGCTACAAAATGGAAGACAAAAAATTTTATGACCTTTGACATGAGTAACTTCTGTAATGTCTCCTATACTTAACATAAATAAAGTTGTGTAGCAGGGTACTTGTTCATGTCAGGTAGTTTCTGTTTAACCAATAAAGACTAATTTTCTCTTCTTTTTTTTATGATATTACAATTATTTGTTCACATTTTTACATGATGTAAATTGAACATGTGAATTAGTCTAGAACAATAGTGAAACATTTAAGAAGGTTTCTTATCATGCTCTTTCATTTTAGTGTCTTTAGGAGTTTAACAAGTCTTCATCTACATGAAATTTAATCTAATGAAAACTGTTTACTCTGTTTACCATTCATACCCTGGGATCATCTATTATTCCCTTGGTTTATTTCAAACCACAGTCACTAAACATTACATAGGTACAGATCGAGCATAAGGGGTGTCACCAATAGTGAATCATGCAGTCTTCAGAGAGTGCTTGGTCATCTCCAGTAGTAATTGCAAGAGAGGAGAAAGGTATTTCCAGGTTCTATAGTGAGTTTAGCCAGATGAATTGTGGTAACTCACATTGAATCGTTTCCATTACCATGAACAGATGAATGTCTAAATGCGTTGGGAAGGGCCCATTGGTTCAGTACTTTAGATCTGACATCTGAATACTGCCAATTCGAACAGGATGATGAGAACAGACTGAAGATTGCTTTTAGCATGAAAGATGGCTTGAATGAGTTTCCAATCATGCCAGTTTGCCTGTGTGACATGCCTACTAGTTCGAGATGTTAATAGAGCTTACATTAAAAGGGCTGTAATGGGAGAAGTGCTTGATCTATGTCAACAGCATCTTGGTGTTTGGTTGCATGTTTGATTTTGTGGTTGAGAACTTAAAAATTTTATTGCAGTGGATATAAATGACAGGTTTGAAACTGAAACCTGGGAAATGTGCACTTATGGCTACAAAAGTGGAATTTCATTGTCATATTGTGGGTAAAGAAGGTATTTTCTTAGATCCTGCTAAAATAGCAATGGTACAAGATTGGCCTTAATCTATGACCAAACAAAAAGTCCTCAGTTTCTTGTTTTTTTTTATTATCTTAGCAATAGTTTGATGCCACTTTCTCCAAAATCACTTTTATTGGCTCTTACTAAGACAGAGATACACTTCAGATGGAGTGAGGAATGCGAGTAAGCATTCCAGCTTCTGAAAGATGTTTTAGTAGAAGCCTCAGTAGTAGTTTATCCACAATGGTGAATTCCTGCTAGAAATTGATACCAGCAATAGTAGTATGGAAACAGTGTTATTGCACTTGCAAAATGGAGTAAAATGTGTATTCACGTACGCTAGTTGTATGCTTACAGCTCATCAATCCAAATATTATATGATGAAGAAAGAACTGCTTGTAAAACACTTCCAAAACTATTATTATGGTGGAAAGTTCTCTTAGTGGACCGTACCTCATTGAAATAGTTGATGAATTTTTAAAAACCCAGAAGGGATTAGCACACTGGATAATGGCATTGCATGAGTATGATTTAATCATACATAATCACCTGGTCCCACAGCATGGAAATACAGACATATTGTCTTGACAGATAGATCCTGTATGCTCATTAAATGTCCATATCCTAGAAACTGTGTAGAGGTTGAGACCATTTCTGCTATAATGACAACCAGACATATTGTTGGATATGCCACTGATAGATGGATGCCACAATTAACCCACGTGGAAGCTCCAGAAAGAATAACTGAAAGGCCCAGGTGTAGTATGGGTGTTTCTTGCCATGTAATTAGGTAAAACACATTTAAGTAAGATTGAGGAATGTAACACAAATGCACATAACCTGTGTCACTGGTTACAAGTACAGAAAGATGTGCTATACCAGTGGTTCTCAATCTGTGTTAGAGGTAGTGGTCCTCAGAACTCTGAAGCACAAGATTCTTCAGACTTTGTATAATGCAATGAGTGGAGGACACCAAGGTGTTACTTGCACATGTATTAACTTTTGATGACAGTTCTTCAAGTCAGACATTCAGCATTGAATTGAATACCATATGCCTATTTACTGGTTTGACAATGCACCAACCTTGGACTGTGTGAATGTATCAACCATTGGACAAGTCTCAGTCAACTTTATGAAATAGTTGATGATCATGAGTATGTACAGGTGACTCTGGAAGTGGACCAGCAATATGGAAAACCAACAAGTCTTTGTTGAAGTTTACCATGGTTACGCCAACTTTTCCTCTGGATGGCACACACCTGGTTTGGAGCAACTGAAAAGGTCCACTCAAGTCAGGGAGCAAACTTTAAGAGCCAACTGTTCTCAGAGGTTTGTAGAATGTTAGGTATGGTGAAGGTGCAAACTTCAATCAATATAGCTAAGATTAAAACCTTCATTTCGTATTTCATTTTGCAAGCAATATTACTTCACTTAGTATCACAGCTCAGTTATTCAGAGATTTAGCATTATTTCTTAATTGGTATCTTGATCGAATTTCCTGTTATTAAGCAGAATTATCCTATTATTCGAAGGTTAACTCAGTTTTACCTAAAAATACCGCAAATCAAAATGTAGCTTAGCTATTTGGAGGAAAATAAAACTTCAGTTTTTGGGCTAACATAATTATATATATATATTTATTATTCAAACAATAACTTAAGAATTTTAGCATAATAACCTTATGAAGAACAAAGTTTCCATTATGCACGAAAATGACTTGTCTTTGATTAATGTATTTGATAAGAAGAATCTGTCCTCGCGTTAAGGAATTTCGCCCATACGGAAATTATAAAGCACGACCAAACGTAATGTGCCATTAAACATAATGGTTATACAAACTAAGGCAAAAAGTTTGTATGATGATTTGATGACTGAACAAAGTGGTAGTGGATTTCTGAAGAAAAACCCTTCCTGGTAAGTAAAGGGTGGTTTGATAGGTTCAGGAAGTGCTTTAACTTGCACAACATAACACTTAAGTGGTGAGGCTGCCAGTGCTTATGTAGAAGCTGCATGAAGATACCCTAGTGAACTCAAGAAAATTATTGATGAAGGGGGTTACAGTCCAGAACAAGTCTTCAATGTGGATGAAAGGGGACTGTTCTGGAAACGCACACCAGATAGAACATTTATTTTTAGGGAAGAGAAGTCTGCATCAGAGTTCAAGGCATCAAAAGATCGTCTGACTTTACTTGTGGATGACAATGTTACTGGAGATTTTAAGCTAAAGCCATTACTAGTGTACAGTCTCGAAACTCCAAGAGATCTAAAGGGATATATCAAGCCAAATTTACCAGTGACTTGGCGCTCAAACAAGAAGACTTGGATGACTATAAGTATTTTTCAAGACTGGTTAATCAATTTATTCTGCCTTCCTATTGAAAAGTATTGTGTCAAACGTATTATTGCCAACAAAACATTGCCCATCTTAGACAAGCCACCTAGTGAACTTGAATGATTATTCTGATAATGTAAAAGTTGAGTACATCCCCAAAAATACAACTGCATTGCTCCAGCCAATGATTCAAGGTGTTATCTCCAATTTCAAGAGATATTTCTTACAGAGAACTCTGAAACAACTGATTAAACCTACTGATGGAGAGGATTAGTCTACAGTTCGAGATTTCTGGAAGAAATATAACATTATTGATGCAATAGATAACAACACCAAATCGTGGGATGAAGTGAAGGAGTCAACTATAAATGGTGTGTGGAACAACATATGGCCAGAGTGTACCAACGATTTTACAAGCATAAAGTGCTGAGAAAGTTCACCAAGACATTGTGGCACTTGCAAGACAGGCTGATTTTGAAAATATCGTCGAAGATGATGTGGTTGAGTTATTAAAGTCCCATGGAGAGGATGTGTCGAATGAGGATCTGATAATGTTGGAACAAGAGCGAGTTGCAGAAGAGGAGGACGTTATTGAAACACCACCCATGCAACTTCAGTTGACTATCAACTACATATACCAATCCTTTGCCCTCGTAGAAAAAGTGGTGCAAATATTTTGGTGCTAATGATCCCAGCCGTGAAAGCAGCCTAAAAGTTACAAAAGGACTACATGATGTCATGCACAGCTACAAGGAGAAGATGCAGCAGAAACAACTCTCTGCGCATTCTTCGTCAAAATAGCTGAGCCTACATTACATCAAGATGATGATCATGATTTACTGGTTAAGGCAAACGTCAGTACCAGTACTTAGTCTCCCTATATAAAATGTAATTATTTTTGTGTACCTGCTATTATTTTTAGTGAGTAAAACTATTAAACTATGTCAATTACATTTAATATGTGTTTTAAAATGTTTTCTTACATACATATGTGTTTTTTATTACTTTTGTGGATCAAAAATTTTCCGTAAGAACGCAACCACACTTATAACATGGGACTCAATTGGAAAATAAGGTTTGAGTTACGGCATTTTGCGCTACAGAAGCTTTTTCAATACGGGGGGGGGGGGGGGGTTAAATGTATTTAAAATTCAATTATAAATTAGAAGCCTCATATAAATGAAAAACGTTTGTTGAAATATAAAAATGTTTGCTTAGATATGTGTACATATTGATAGCAAATATATTCTCTGTCTTGATACTTTTTAAATAAATTTCAGTAATTTATGAACACAAAATTCTATGGAGTTAATTGGGAATTTTTATTTCTTTAACACCTTTAGGCGCGCATCTTTTAAATAGTATATTCAAGTTTATATACGTGTCTAGTTAGATCAAGTATCCTCTAATACCACTTGAAATAACCCAAGGTACATAAGAAAACAATGGTTCAGAAAACCTGAAGATTCAAATTCTGCAGATAAGTTAACCTAATTGGCATATCTAATGACGTCGCAAAGCATTGTGCTAAATTATAAACAACAACTAATGACGTCGCACTTCCAATATGGCTGCCATACGGCGACGGGCGCACCTAAAGGATTAATTATTTATTCAATTTTCCAACGTTTTGGCATACGCCTTTAACAAGGGATGTTTATCACTAAGATAACTGGTTCAGGTGTATGCCAATTAAGTTGTACAAATGCGATCTGAGTGCTAGGCTGATCTGATAAAGGTGTAAACAAATACACTTGGATTTTTTAATGTCTGAAGGAAAGAAAGGGTCTTTATAATTCTTAATTGTATCTCAGCATCTATATCCATAAAACTGTAACGTTTAACAACATTTTACACAAAAGTATTATTTGATATTTCAAGTTTGGTATTTTATATGCATGTTTATGCACCTAATAATAAATGTTAATATAAATTAGGGTTTCTAAATAACCACTTTAATACCAATTATAAGCCAACATTTTTTATGAAACCGTGAAATTTAAATCAATTTTTGTATCATAATAAAGTTTTATAAGTTTTAAAGTAAAATCTTCACATAAGAAAATATTCTTTGTTTTTGTGAAATTTTGCATAAAGCTAGCCCCCCAGTGGCACAGCGGCATGTCTGCGGACTTACAACGCTAGAATCCGAAATTTTGATGCCCGTGGTGGGCAGAGCACAGATAGCCCTATGTGTAGATTTGTGCTTAATTACAAACAAACAAGCATAACGTTACTAGAGGGCTATCTGCACCAGTCGTCTCTAATTTAGAAGTGATAGACAAAAGGTAAAACAGCTAATCAACGCTTCTCACCGCCAGATCTTGGGCTACTCTAATTGAATAGTGGGGTTGACCGTCACGATATAATGCCCTCACGACTGAAAGAGCGAGCACTTTTGGTGATAGTAGTATCTTTTGTGAAATTTTAGTAACACTGGTAACATCACGTTTGTGTAATTTTAAATTACTGCATAGGTAACTCAAATATGATGTCATAAGTGACACTTCAAATAACACTGAAGGACTGCAAGGGATCTTTCGGTCTATCTATATAGTATTATGTACACAAAAAAACCCTCAAAGCCAGCCATTATTATTCAAATATTTATCAAACTTTCCCTTAAACTCCCTAGTGAAACCATGCTGACCATCCAACAAAATTTTAATGAGCATAAAAATGACATAAAAAACACCATATATATCAAACTCGTTAGTGCTACACATAGACAGTCATGGACACTTGCCAAAGTGGCAAGACATAAGAAGTTTGCATAAGGGTTATGATAAGAGATTGAGACGGACCATTGAAGCTGCATACATCGCTACAGAGGTCACCTCTAACCACAGAGAAGGCTTTGTTAACCTGGCTAAGGTCGCCGGGTCACTGGTAATTAATGTTGCGAGAAGGGCAGAGGCAGTAGGATATATCAACCAATCAGGAGGACGCATTCCTCGGCAACCAACGAAGTAATTCACGACATGGTATGTAATGTGTTGTCTGTATTTGTTTGTATCATTCTCTGAATAACATTTCTGCTTCATTCTGTGTTTCCTTTCCAATATATTTCACTCGTATGTCATGAATAAGGTCAACATTTGAAAATGACTTTGCAAAGCATTTTTTATTAAACTTTCAAAAACTTTTCCCGCCACTGTTGTAAGACAAACAGACCTATAAGTATTGGGACAATTTTTATCACCTCCCTTGAAAAGAGGACTAACATTAACCAACTTCACATCTTTTGACACCTGCCCGTATACAAGGACATATAATAAATAATAACAAGTGACTCACATATCCAATCTTCTTTTAAAACCTTTGGTAAATATTATCTGTCCCAGAAGTTTTATCATTCTTTAAACTTCCTTAACAAGCTCAGAATTAATGTAATCTAACATTTTGCTTATTCTTTACGTATTTCAAGAAATCCTTACTATTAATTTTTTTTACTTTTCAGTGAGAATTTCATGCCTATTTCAAAAACTTACCGACCAAACATGCTCGCCCTTTCAGCCGTGGGGGCCTTATAATGTGACAGTCAATCCTACTATTCGTTGGTAAAAGAGTAGCCCAAGAGTTGTCGGTGGGTGGTTATGACTAGCTGCCTTCACTCTAATCTTACACTGCTAAATTAAGGACGGCTAGCGCAGATAGCCCTCGTGTAGCTTTGCGCGAAATTCAAAACAAACAAACAATCAAAAACTTAATTTTTACAAAATATTGTCAGTTACAGAAACTGTTACTAGATGGCGATATTAACCTTCTCAACTTCTGAGTGATAAAGGAAGTGACGGTTTTTTAGTTAAATCCAATTTTAGTGGTGTTGTGTATTCTGTATTACTAACAGTAGTAGTAGTAGTGATACTACGTTAGTCTGCTATATTTAATTTTTTGATAAACATTTCAACCTTTGTTTCTTTCATTTATTTAACCAAAAATGGTTATTAAGGTATTTGTTTCCGGCATTTCTGCAAGTAAAGAGGTATGAAACTACTGTTTTTCTAAAGCTATTAAAAGAAAACATACAAATGCTAAGCCTAGATTAGAAGTAGAATATGCTCGATGTTTGTCCGAATCATGTTACGACTTCGTAAGATTAAAAATTTGGAAACTTACACTGTACATAGCAGTTGTTTCAATTTTTAGATTTGTACGGTTTTTAGTGTAATTTAAGTAGCTTTGTCAATTATTGTACATTGGACTAAACAAAACTTTCAATAATATTTTGAATTCATGATGCTGACACCGAGTGTGTTACTGATGGTGATCAAGGGCCTCCAAGCTATCCTGGGGCCCGGAAAAGAATTGGTATGTGCCCCCCCCCTCCCTTTTTGGAATAGTTTCTTTCACAATGATGACACAGGGCAGTGAGCTCCAGGGAAATATCCTGCCCTTCTGGTGGGCCTGATAATGATTATAATTGTCTGATATTTTAGAAAGTGGTTTTAATTAATTTTAAACAAATTTTAATAACATAAGTTTAGTGTTAAGATATTTTTTATAGTCCTAAACAAGTATAATATTTACAAGTTTAAATGAATGTGCATTGGCTTCAACCAACCCAGTATTGAAGAAGGATTATTGATTATAATTCAAAATTTACTAAGGGTATCTACTTCAAAGGTGGCAAGCTTATAGTAAAATGTCCAAGTCTGTTGTACACAAAAAATTAGATGTGTTACAAATGTATTTGTACTTGATATGTCTGTGAATTGATGTCAGTCTGATTCAGATTCTGACAAATCAGAGTGCAAGGTGATTCTCAAGTGAATAATACAAATACTTTTGTCCAATTTACAGTGAGTGTATTGTATTTGCATAACTTCTAAAACTTGTGAAATGCATATTCACATTTTTTTTTCGGTATTCATGTATATTGTGTTTGGTATTTTCTCTCCTCTACTGTGAACTGATGGTAAATCAGCAGTGTAGAATAAAATGAATAGTTCGTAACTCTGACATCAAATACATAATACTGTGTTGAATGGCCCACTGTAAACATATGCATTTTGACCCCCACCAGTGTACATAGGGTTAAGTAAATTTTATGGGTATTCAGTAACGTAACAGTGGGCTCATTGGCCTTTCATGGCTGCTCCATTCATTTGATTAAATACCCATCTGCAAATTAATGATATATATTCAGCCCTAATTCTGCAGGTACTTATAAAGCCCTCTCCTTAACTCTTCTAATTTTATTGTATCTACCACATCTGAAGGTGATTATTCTAAAGGCAGACCACTCTTTTCGTAAAATAAAATTGCTCAACTTAAAGATGACTTCTATCCAGCCCTCTGTCTTTCCATTAAACACAAATAAAGACTATGCACCAATCCTATTTACTTCACAATATGTAAAAGTAATTTTTAACATTTCAGTCAGATTACTTTAACTCCTCTTTTCCCATGAGAAAATAACCCTGGAGACCTTAATTCTGTCCTCATGCGACGGTCCTCTCCATCCCAAGAATTATCCTACAGTCTAACATTGTATTAGCCATTCTTTGAACCTTTTCTAATGACTCAATTGCAAATAATTCTACACTACTTTCAGCCTATCCCTTAACAGTAACATAAGCGAGAACATGTTCACCTTCTTTCCTTTTGTTCCTGAAATGGCTGCTGAAATAACCCATTTATTTAACTCTTTATCTCCAGAGCAAAAAATGGCCACAATTTCTTTGTCAGTTTTGAGGAAATCAGTGGTGAATGCCTTTCATCTAAATCCAGCTTCACATTTTGTTGTAGCTCATGGAAGGAAATGTTCATATCAGTCTCCTTCTTCAACTACTTTCCATGCTACTTCATCTTCACCATTTTTCAATCTCCTCCTGCTTATACAATGGTCCTCTTATTTTTGTTAGGTCTAGATCCAGACCCTACTTTTTTTCCTCATAGTAGCACCATTTGTCTATCCCTTGCCCTCACCTGTATTCACACCTGAAGGGCCTGCCACAGGACTCCTCTATCTCTCTCTCCCTCTCTCACTTTCAAAATTATCATCATCAAGATCACTGGGAATAAAGTCATTTTCCTGGCTCAGAAATTCCTCAATTAACTTCCTAGTTTACTCAAAAGTAAATTGATGAGGCCTACCATAAGTAGTGGGCGTGGTTATTTTCTGTATTGCAAAATAGAGGTTCAAAACACTTGCTTAAATTGCACCTTTCTTCTATCAAATTGGTGCTCAGATTGAACATATTTCATTAACAAAGGTAGTTCTAGTTTTATATTGAATGTATAAGGCATTCAAAATGTGGGATTGATCAGGAAATTGAACAAGACCTACAAGCCGATATATCAGCTGTTCGGAGAAAAAGAGTTAATAACTTAAAACCTGAAGTAAACATTTTGTATAACCCCTCATATAAGATAAGTGCTTCATTACCCACCTTAAAAACAAGCTCTAAAGAACAAACAAAAACAAGGCATATATAATATAGAATGTGAATATAGTTAGAAATATAATGGACAAACTGCACGATATCTCGAAATTACAAGAAAAGAACACTAAAGCCACATGCATAGAGGGGATTTCAAAAAATCCACCTTAACATGTCATCAATTTGAAACAGGTCCTAGGATTATTTGGTAAAAAATGTCCCTCTTACACCAAACAAAACATAAAATAGAGCAAAATGTTCTTGAAAGTGTTGAAATTATGAAAACAGGTGTTTTATCCTTAAACTGTTACAGTGGCTCTAGTAACATTAAAAAAATATGGCAAAGCTTATTCACCTAGCTCACCCTCTCTTTGAACTTCCTTTAGCTAATAACTCTGTCACAATTTTTGCAATCACATGATAACACCCCATTGTTACATACTGTTACCCATAGTTCCTAGAGACATTTTTGTTCTGTGTATAAATCTCTTATCATACCCGAAGAAGAAGACAAATTCTCCATTGAAAAAATGTAACATGTATTAAAATATTTCCTTATGCTTGCAGATCATTTTGTCTTGCATATAAAAGTCTCTTAGTGTAATGTGCTTCCCTACACAAATAACACTTAACCTATTAAATAATGTACCTAATTTAATATGTCAGTCTAACTAGGAATATGAATATAGAGAAAGAAATTTGCTAATTTTAATAGAAACTTGTTTAAAATAAAAAAAGTACTGCATTAATTATGTACAGTTTTGATGTAGCATGACAATATTAAACATCTCTGAGTTAATAAAATCTTTGCAGTATTCACAGATTTATTTATTTTTACTTAAAGCCTTAATAATTTGTAGCCTTCATGATACATTTTCATACCTTTCTTGCTTAATAATACAAAGAAAAACAATGAAACAGAAAGCCATATTAACCATATCGCTACAGGTTATGGGTCAAAGGCCATGTCATCGTGTTTGTGGCCTTGCATTCAAAATTTTATTGAACTATTATTTTATGAACTTGTGTCAATAAGTTTGGTATCAAACTGTAGATTAGAATTCAAATTTTAGTATTGTACATTGTTCAGTTTCTTAATTCAAAAGTAAATATTAAAAAAGCCCTTTTAAACATTGATTTATGAGTGTCACGTGGTATGTTGAATGCAGCACTGGTTCGAATTAGATGTTTGTGATGTCAAAATACAAAGTTTATAGTTTTATACAAATTAGGAACTCAAATTACTGATATTAACAAGCTAGAATATAAAATAAGAACCTCCTTTCTTTTCTATTTGATGAGATCTTGCTCGTGTACTGAATCAAACACAGTGGCCCCACTCATCTCTTTCCATATTTGGAAACAGTCCCATATATACACTTACTTGTGTATATGACATGTGAATAACCAATCAAAAGTTCAGAATGTCCCCTTAGTAGCTTTCTCAGCCAATTTCATGTGTTAGGATGCCATCTCATTCTTTCAAAACAAGATTTCAAGGAGCTAGGTTGTCTCTTTAGTCTGCTCAAAATTTCATTTTTTTAGATCAAAATACAGCTTAGTTACTAAACTTGATAAATTATAGTGGAATTCTGTAGTATCGATATAGTAATCTATGATTTTTTGGTTATTGAAATGTATATAAAAAACTTAAAAAAAATACTTTGTTTCATATCCTCCATGTGCAAAATTTGATAAGGCTTAGCAACCTATGGCAAGCAGGAACCGAGTACAAAGGTCATAACAAGAAGAAATAAGTTTAAGAACTTGTTTGTGAATAGTAATAATCTGTATACGTATATATAATGTATAATAATTGAAATGTGACTATTTCACAAAGTACTTGTCCACTAAAACACAGCCACGACAGGTCACTTTGTAAAAGACTAAAGGTCAGTTTTATATTATTGGATATGGTAATATGAGTGCACATGCGCCACGTCATTGTAACTTCTGGAAGGTCAATATAATAAAAATAATAAATGTATAATGTTATGAGAATTAAGATATTTAAACTAAACATTTGTGTTTTTGTGTTATAACTTGTAGTCATTCTAGAACAGATAAAGCATAATTTATATTTATTTCCTAATTTTTATGGTGGTTACAAGTTCAGTCAAATTGACGGATCCCGTATAGTTAGAGTAGAGAAAATAACAGACAAAGTATAAAGTTTTACCAAAAACAAATGTTTTGAAATGTATTTAGGAGGTTTTAGAGATTACACAAATAATATTTGAGATTTTTAGAACAGAATAGTTTTTTAATCATGACATGAAAATCACTTCACACTCGGACTAGGAATGAAATGGACTCGATATTTTCAAAAACAAATCTTTCATAAAAATACTTCATGAAAAAATCTGATTTTTTGTGTACACAAGACTTGGAATCATTACTAAAAGTCTACCAAATTTTGTGAAGATACACATAGAGCATTTAAAGTTATAGTATAAATACTTAACATGTGCAAATTTGTATACAAAGTCATGTATTTTATACTGAGCCCATTGCAAAGGGGTTAAACATAGACTAGGGCTATAGGGTTTTGTTTATGTCGTTAATTTTGTGAACCTACATGTTTTCCTAACATCGTGAA